CTCCTTACCTTGGGATGCTTTAGATTCAAACTCTACTAAAATTACCCCAAAAGCTCCCTAAAACTCCTTAGAAATCTTGGAAAATTGAATGGAGGATTGAAAGGAAGTAGAGAATGAGAATGGCGGTGGAAAATGGGTGAAATGAAGGGAAAATTCTTTGTTAGCTCAATTTACAAACAAACATTCCCATTTTACCCTTGCTCTTCCTTGAAAATTTCATCTTTGTCCTTTAATTCATTACAAACACACCGCCAACTCCAACACATTCTCTACTAAATTTTCTTACATTTTACTCCCCACTTTTCCTGCTAATTAGGGGTAGAATAGTCATTTTACCGCTATGGAGAATTCTCTAGAACTCTCAAGAAAACTTTTCTGCCATCCCGTCGTCGCGGCGAAGAAAGTTCCGTCGCCCCGGCGAAAAATTACAGAATCAACATCGCAACACAGAGCTGACATCGCCTTGGCGAAGAATAGTCTTCTCCCCGGCGAAGGCTATACTACTAAGATTCCTCAATTCTCTACCAATTTCAACCAAAACTACCAACCTACAAACTCAATTGAAGCTAGATCAATGAACATTTAAGTAATACGACAAATCTTAACTACCTACCTCAAGCGGGGCGTTACAAATGGGGTGTAGTGAGCTGGAAGAGCTCCAAGCAAAGCACTATAGAGGATTCTACAATGGAAGCCGAGTCTATAGCATTATCCAATGCAGGCAAGGAGGCAGTTTGGATCAAGAAGCTCATCACTAAACTTGGTGTGGTCTCCACTATTGTTGATCCAATTGAAGTCTATTGTGACAACAATAGAGCAATAGCTCAAGGGAAGGAGCCACGGTCTCACCAGCGGTCCAAACACATACTCAACCGTTTTCATCTCATCAGAGAAATGGTTGAGAGAAAAGATGTGCAGATCAGCAAAGTACGTACTGATGATAATCTCGCTGATCCATTGATGAAGCCTCTTCGTAGCAAAAGTATGAAAAGCACTTAAGGTCATTCGGTATTAGGTACACAAATGATTGGCTATAGTGCAGGTGGGAGATTGTTAGAGTGGGTGCCCTAGAGCCAATCAATTATTGTAAAATTGACTCTTTGTAATAATGTTTATTAATCAATAAAAGGCAATTTTCTTCTATATCATGTAAATCATAATTACTTGTATTGATATATGTCCTTAGGATGATAGAACTGTGATGAGGGTATCAAGTGTTTCAAATCTTGATAGTGAGAACCCTATGATCACATATGGTAGCCATTCTAGAAATGTTCGTAGCCCTAGTATTATTCTAACCAAGGACACAGATAATACGATAAGGCTATCATAGTGTTGAACAACCCTGTTAAAAGATAATGATTGATCTCACTTGTCAAGGCTATTTGCCGCAACCTGGTGCAACACATGGGTGTTTGCTGTAGGTAAGTTCATTGGACAAACCCACCTGAGGATTCCATATAGATTGTAAGCCCAGTGTCTATGGAATAAATCTTCTAAAGAATGGTGGTGCATGTGATCTTTAGACTTGAGATCACCGGACTGTCTTGTGCACCTATTGGTGCAGTTTGACACTAGCTTAACGTAGTTTTATTTAGAGCTATCAATACGGTAATGATTGGCTGCATTGAGGAGTGTATCAAGACTATGGTGGATCAACAAAGGATTCATCACTCCTAGGTACGGGAAAAGTTATCTCACGGTGCAATGCAGTGGATGGCAATGACACTAAAGCTGTAGCCATAGTGGGATTGAGTTGTTGCTCAATCCAATTTATTGTTCTGGTCATTGGTCCAGTAACTGGATACAAAGATATTGAGGATAACTGAGGTTGACACTATTTGTGTACCTTAGCCTCAATGAGATAACAAATGATGAAAGGATTTGATTGCACAGTAACCATATCGTTGGCAAGTAGCGATTTTGCTGAATCCGAAACTATCATGTGACCATGATGTCTTGCTAGGGGCTAATCTTGGTCTGTGTGTAGTGAGATGATTAATTAGTATTAATTGCAATACTACTCACTGCCGATATGATAAGGAGCCTACAGGTCACACACTTAGAAGATAATTTAAGAATCGTTTTGTGGAAGGGGTATTTTCGTCTTTTTTTACAAAAATGTATTTTGGTAATCTCACAGTGCAATTAAATTTGCTGAGGTTGTTGCCTGTATTTAATTTTAATATTAAAATTAAAATTAGTGAGATTATATTTAAATGGTTTATTATTATTAACAAAATGTTAATATGTTATTATATATATTAATTGATTTTAATAATAATAATAATAATTAATTAAAATTTAAAATACCAATTAAAGGGTGTTTGGTTGCAAGGGTGAATTAGGGTTGGAGCCCATGGCTATTCCTTGTTGGAATAAGGTTATAATTGTTGCACTATAAGTGCAACTTAAATTAAAATAAAAAAATAAAAAAATGATTAGATGATTATTCAATAATCAAAAACCCTAGCCACCCTTTTACTCCCTTTCTCACATTTTCAAAGTGTGTGTGTATCAAAGAATTTCATTCTTTTGATTCAATTGATTCTTGAAGCCTTTTATTTGTTTTAGCAAAACAATAGTAGGTTCTATGGATTATCTTCGTGTGGACAACGTTCATGCGATTTTGTTCTTGAATCAATAAGCGAAATTAAAGTATTGAAGGAGCCTCCAAACTTTGGTAACGTATTCCTAATCTTTGTATGGATTATTTGTTTTTTATTTATACAGATTTTTGTTTACACTGTTTTCGATTATAATATGCAAAGACGTTATAATCTTTGCCCGGATTTTTGGTTTTAGTGATATGAACAGATTCGTCCTTTGAATATTGTGTTTTTATTGTTTTTCTTCTGTTGAGCGAATCTGTTCACTTACTTACACTATATACATGCCTACAATTATAATGTAAGAGTTCGCGGACAATTGAAGAGGGACGATGTCGAATTGTCTCAAAACATTGTCAATGAATAAGTGAGGGGGAACAGACATCCTATACCTCAAAAGGGTTTCAGAGATCGCCACGCAGCCTGTGAGGGATTCTTCCAAGAAGAGCCTCTTGGAACCATCAAGTTGAGCTGAGGAGTATAAGTTTCATTTATGCACCTAAGATCCTCGGCATCTATCGAGGATTGTGGTTCCTTGCATGGCTTATGAACTGGAGATCTCCTTGAGTGAGCGACCTATACAGAAGCATGATCTGAGGAGCCAACGACATCAGGATCCAAGCTCCGTGTGACAACATCTTTGGATGTCTCAGGGACTGCATCCCCGAGAACTACCGAGACTACTAGAGAATCGAACGTGTGGTCAATGGTCTGAATACTTGATGAAGACATGATTATAGCTCGCCTCTAGGTACCTCAAACAAAAGCGAACATGTGTCAGAACTTGAAAAACTTGACAACCTATCCACACTTTGCTTTCAATTCAGGCACCCAAGGTAGCTCGCATCGGACAACAGACACACGTGACTTACCAGGGATTCCGACGCCACAATAAACCCTCCTTAAACCCAGGACTGCTGGAGATACACTTAAAAAAACCTTAGCAAATCCTTAAAAAGCCCAATATGGCCACAACAATGGCCACCCTCAACCGCGAAAATCATAAAAACAAGTAAAAGACGGGAGAGGAAGCCTTACCAAACTGAAAGATGAGATGACTTGCCGGAAAAGCACCGTGAAGATGAAAGAGCAACGACGAAATAAACAAGAAAGCTTGGGAGCTTTTGCAAAGTGTGAAGGCCTTTTGACGAGTTCGCCTGCTTTTATAGTGGTTTGCATAGGAGACGAAAGGGCGAGGTTCGATCATAGCCGTCGATCTACAATGAATCTCAACCCTCCATTCGTTGAGCAATCTCAGCCCTTGGACGTGGCCATGCGTCAACCATCCGCAAGGAGTGATCAACCATCAGACTGCCATAATCATGACTGTCGCCGCACATCGCCTCAACTTCGTGCATGGGTTGCCGCATTTAATGCAACATGACCATATGGAATTTACACAAATACCCTTTCTTTTCAAATTTCGAGTTTGTCAAGAATATCACAGGAGAGAAAAGGTCAAGTGTTGAGTAGGTCAACTGAGGATGAGTCTGATGAAGCTCCCAAATCTATATTTAGTGCACAATCGACGAAGTCCGAGCTTGATGTTAAATCGAGCAATAGTCTTTGAAGCTCAAAATGAGCATAGAATGCTAGAGGGCAGATGTTGTGTGTGATTTTTTAGTCAAGCTCAGAGAATAGCGAAGTTATAGCTGGATCTAGAACCTGCTCGATTCAAGTGACTGTCTACCCAACATAAGCTCGTCGAGCTGTAACTCAACCTAGCACAAGCTAGTAGTGACCAAATGTCACAGTTATTCAACCAATCCACAGATAACTTCAACTCTCAAATATCTCGAAAAGGATTAGATCGACAACAATCTTTGCGCAATCACAATACTCAATTGCGAGAATATCGGAGTTGCATTTCAAACTTATTTGTAATCTTTTTATTTTCACTCTTTCCTTTGTACAAAATCAATATATAAACCCCCTCCAATGATGAGAAAGGGGTTAGCGAATTATTCTAGAATTGTTATTTTAAGCTCTCATAGCGAATACAAAAACAGTGGATATAGGCTCAAGAATTTAACTCACCGAACCACTTTAAAAACTATTTTGTCGTTTTCTTTATTGTATTTATTGTTTGGTCTTTTCTGGTTACTCGTAATCACATACACATTAGTTCTGATCCCGTTAAGGTCAATTGGATCACTCTGGTTAGTGTATTTTTGCATCAACAAATAGTTTAATAATGTAGTCCATCACAGAGTAATTTAAATACTTCACTATGCATTAGTTTTTTTTCTTAAAATGTCTAACTTAAATAATCTTTCTCTCTCTCTCTCTCTCTCTCTCTCTCTCTCTCTCTCTCTCTCTCTCTCTCTAATATATATTATATATCTATATAGATATATATATATATATATATTTTGAAACTAAGTTTATAAATTAATATATACAACCAATATCATTGGTGATGCAAAGAGGTTACACCCAAATGACAAGTTCATATGAAAAAATACACTCAAAACAAAGCATTGGTATTAAATCAGAAACGAATATGGCATCGACTCAAATATCTCCGGATTGGGGCTGAAATTGATATCAATCTTTCTGGAATTATCAGCTTCGGATGCTTTGGCTTGATCTTTAGATTCTTAAGCATAGGCATAGCTCCTTCCTCTATATGCCACTCCTCCAATTCAAACAGTTCAATAATTTCTAAACTTTCAAGCTGAGGAAAACCCTTTTGCCTGCAGATCATTTTCTCTCCGTGGTAAGAAAGATGGAGCAATTCAAGACTTACCAGGTTCGGTAACTTCTCTAACTTAGGCATCGGGTCATCCTCAAGATCAGAATTCCTTAACGATAAGGATTCGAGATTCGGCAAGATTGTGTGCATGTCTGCCGGTAGTTCCCCTATCTTCCCATCCAATGTCAAATTCTGGAGCCGTGGACAGTGAGAAAGTGGCTGCAGTGAAGTGAAAGAATGGACACCGGAAAGTTCAACTGATAAAATTCTAATGTTTTTCAGGTTGGCAATGGAGTCCAATGTGAATGCTTCTTGTTCTGTGTATAAATGATGAATGTGCAGCTCTCGAAGATTAACCAGCTTTTCAGGATGATGAACTCTACTCCACGTTTCATAGCTTACGAACTTTAGAGTCTGAAGATTTGTCAAATTGTCTATCGGCAAAGGCCCTTCAAAATATCCGATCAGATGTCGCAACTCTTGCAATTTGCCAATTCCAATTGGTAGCTTGAGGAGGCAAATGTAAGTGAATAAGTCCAGAGTCTGCAGTCTACGTAAGTTGCCAATGGATGGTGGAAGATTTCTTAAGTTTGTAATCCTTACCGTCAAATACTTTAAGTGGACCAACTGCCCTATCTCATTGGGCAAGCTACTGCAATCAATTGCTCCTCCATAATTCTCAACATGAAGAACTCTGAGCAACCTGAGTCTTGTGCAAATAGCTTCTGAAATTTGATTGAACGAGCCCCAATCTCGATCATATAACAAGAGGGAACGTGAGAGAGAATTACAACGTTGGAATGAAGAGCTTGTTTCAGAATAAAAAACAAGTCGGCGAGATGATGCCGATGTAGTTGGATGATGAATTCCATCGTAGATATGAAAGAAATTTAGCTCTTTTGCCTTCTGAATTGCAAGATCCCGCAAAAGATCATGGATTCGACATGTTTCCACTCTCCCCCGACGTATGTTTCCTATTTGAATTAAGCTTCTATTGATTAACTCATCCAAGTTATTTTTCGCTACTTCTTCCATTATTCGATCATCATCTTCTTGTATAAAACCTTCTGCCACTAGTAATCGGATTGCTTTCTCTATAAAGAATTCAGAATCCTCAGGGAAAATTCCTAGATAAAGCAAGCATAGCTTCAATTGATAAGGCAACTCATTGAAGCTTAAAGTTAATAAGGAAGATATGTGAATTGAATCATTCCTTAAATGTTTCCAAATGCGATCACGTACTGAGCGCCATTCCTGTGGTTTCTTTGTAGACAAAAGCCCACCTAATACAACAATGGCAAGTGGTAGACCGCCGCATTTTTCAACCATTTCTCTTCCTAGCTTCCCCAATTCTTCGTTCGCATTTGATTTTCGAAAGGCTTTCTCACAAAATAGCTTCCAGGACTCATCCGGCCTAAGAAACCGAAGTTTATGAACGTGAATTCCCTCATCCAAACGCTCAGCTACTTCTTTTATGCGAGTCGTGATTATTAATCTGCTTCCGTTTCTGTCATCCGGAAAGGCTTGTTTCAGACTCTCCCATGCTTCTTTCTGCCATACATCATCAATCACCATCAAGTAGGAGCATCCTTGTAAAGATTTATAAAGACACCTCGCCAGATCCTCTTCGTTCATCTTATCCAATTCATATTCCTTAATTTTGATCTCAAAAGATTTTACAATTCGTCGGAGAAGATCTTCAGTTTTGTAATCTTGAGAGACAGACACCCAACCTCGAAATTTGAATTTACTCAAGACATCAATGTTGTGGTAAAGGTTTTTAGCAAGAGTTGTTTTGCCCAAACCTCCCATGCCAAAGATGGAAACAACAAAACGTCGTGGCTGATACTCAAGAAGTTTACCCAACAATATTTTAGCATCATCCTCAAAGCCAACAATATTCTCGTCAGGTACAAAGGAACTGACTCTTCTCAGATCTTTTAATCTCCCACGGTTATTGTTCTTTCCTTCCCTCTTGTTCCCAATATCCTCAAGGCGGTAAAATTCCCGTTTACGAGATAGATCGATGATTCTCTTTTGAAGCGAATTAATCTCCTTGCCTATGCCATACAGATGGATCTTCTTTTTTGTGAAAGCAAAGAGAGCCAATAGCTTTTGATTCGGAGTCCCTCCTCGATCCATTTTGAGCATAAATTTATCCAAGACATCTTCGGTATCATAAGCAATGTCCTGGATATCAGATACCCATTTACGAATCATAGCATCTTCAACTTGTTTTTCTGCGGCATCCTTGATGAAACATTGCATCCATTCCAGCTCATTCTTTAGCAACTGCACTTCATCTCTCACTTCTTTTAAGAATACCGCTTCTTGAATGATATAGTCTCCAAGCTTTTGCACCACAAATGACACCACTGCATCGACCATACTTCACAAACTGTGAAATGAAACTGATCTTTATGTTCGGGTGGACTAAATTTTGAGCAATATTCTAGTGTGAAACGAACTGAAAGGATCTTAAGATGCCGGCAGCTGAATTTTAGAATGACTTCAAAAGATTATGTTCCGACTGGGGATTGCTGCGAGTTTAGAGAGTGAAAGTTGCAGTCAATATTCATTAAATTTCATCTTTGTTTTCTGAGCAATGTTCGCACAAGTTCCCATAACTATCCATGTGAGGGTCGGTGAGCGGTCTATTCTCCGCACGTTAGGTCACAGGAAAATTCGATTTGCCTGTACGTTTCCCAAAATTTATAAAATATCACAAAGTTGAGTAGGTTGTTGATATATATATATATTCTGAGCAATGTTCACGCAAGTTGCCATAACTATCCATGTGAGGGTGGGTGAGCGATCTATTCTCCGCACGTTAGGCCACAAGAAAATTCAATTTGCCTGTACGTTTCCCAAAATTTATAAAATATCACAAAGTTGAGTGGGTTGTTGATATATATATATATATATATATATATATATATATATATATATATCACAAATTTTAAGGGGGTGTGTGTGTATATATATATATATATAGGCCTACCCAAAGTTTGGTGAAACGACATATTCATACCCAAAATGTTTTAAAACGATAAATATGTACCTTTCATTAGTGAAAAGACTAGAATGCTTTTTGAGAAATATTAGTCTATTTTTTAAATTACTTTTAGACCCCTTAAGTTTAATAATTTCATCAAATACCCCCAAAAAAGTTTAAAAATTAATAAAAACACCCCTACCCACCCATACTGGCCAGATTCTGGCTACCACCGCCCTTAAGTTTAATAATTTCATCAAATACCCCCAAAAAAGTTTAAAAATTAATAAAAACACCCCCACCCACCCATATTTGCCAAATTCCGGCGGCCACCGCAGGTGGTAGCCAGAATCTGGCCAGTATGGGTGGGTAGGGGTGTTTTTGTTAATTTTTAAACTTTTTTTTGGGGTGGTAGCCGGAATCTGTCACAACGGTCTACACCACCACGGGAAATGGCCGGTAATTCACCGATCTAGCATTTTCCGGTCAGATCCACCATGGATATGGCCGGAAAAGGCCAGATCTACAGCCAGATCTGGCCGTCGACGGCCGCAACACTCCATCTTTGGTCGTTCGTCGCACGTGAATGCTGTGTTGTGTTACTGTTACCATATTTTAAGGGGACGTGCGTGGGTATGGATGGTTCGTATTCTGTTTTAAAATTAATGTTTTTGGTTTTAATTTTTTTTTTCAATTTTTATTAAAAAAAAAAAAAAATTCATCTTTGAAATCATTGGAGAGTTAGGTAGAATTACATTTTTTAACCAAAATTTAGTATGATTGATAAACTCCAATTCAAGAGTTTTGAGAAATAAATTTGTTATGCCTAAAAAATAAGGGTTAACGTAAGTTTTCATCAGCAAACACCAATCAAAGTTCAAGAAGGTTTTACACCATCTAGACACTACCACGTCGCACCAATATAGAAAGGATACGGCTGTCGCCAGCCTAGCAGATTCAGGTTTTGTCTATGAGTGAATGAGGATTGCACACATGTCCAAGCCCCAAATAATTTGATGATATTTCCTAAGTTACTAGTCAATGCAAGGTAAGGAAGGACTTGCGCGACACCTACCCACTTGTAGATTTGTAATCATTACCTTTAATACAACTACTATAAATAAATGACTCCCTCTCTCATTTTTTGGATCTTTTACTTTCATTACAATTAATAGCAAATATAACTTACGAGAAATGAACTGACTTGATATTCTCTCTGAATACTCAATTATTGTACATCTGTTCGTTGTTCATTATACACGACCTCTTGTAAAACTCTCATATATAAAAGAAACAATGAACATAGGAATTGCTTTAAGCATCTAAACCACTATAAAAATCATATGTCTTATTTATTATTCAGTCTTTGCATTTAACTGTGTTTACAACCTTATCTTAACTCTTAAAACAATTATTCACGTGTAATTTTTAAGAACAACTTAACACTTTGCACATGTGAATTGTTAGTGTCAAAATCAAACATCAACAAAACTAAACAATAGTTATTTAAAAATCAAACTTAATGACAATATATTTGTATCCATAATTTATGTTAAAATTTGGAGTTTCTTTTTTTTAATTATTTATGTATTAAAGAGACACTTATTTACAATTTAACAATCCAAAAGCGTGTGATAAACATAATTGCTATAAGCTCTAAATTCAAATAATCAATCAAGATAAGCTGACAAACCCTTCTCACTATTTTTTTCCCACAGACGCAACATGACAGCTTGTAATTGGTCAGCCTAAAATTGGTCATGCAAAACCTATTATTGGGCAAGTGGGACCTATTGCTAACTGTCACATCACGTTTGTGAGAAAAAGTAAGTCAGTGATAAGGGTTTGTGAGCGTAGTATTACCCTAAAAATATATACCCTTTTTGGAACATCAATTTTAAACCTATTTAGACTTTCAAATATTATTTTTGCTGAAATGCGTACATCATATTAATTGGGACAATAATACACTTACAATTCAATCTCAAAAACTTTTTCTCATAATTGCGAAGTGACAACTTGCAATGGGTCTTGTCCGCTCAATTACAGGCTGACCAAATACGAATTACTATATAGGAATTATGAGAAAAAATTTATAAGATTGGACTATGAGTAAATCTTTATTGAATTCATAGAAATTATTTTAACCTTAACTATTACAATTTTAAAGTAACGAGATGCAAGTATGCTTTTTTAGGCAATAGACTTGGATTGGGACCTGCTCATGGGCCTAGGACCGATCCTAGGCCCATGAGAAATTTCAGGACCTGGACCGGTCCTGTGGGCTTGGAAAATTATTTTTTACCCCCCAATTTTTTTTTTATATTTAGGGGGCCAAAATAAATTATGTAGGGGGGTTTATATAATTTTTAGGGGCCTGGAAAATTTATGTCCACCCAGAGAGATTAGTAATTTTTTAATTAATTTTAAAAAATAATAAATAAATTAATGGTTAATTATAATAAATAATAATTTATAAATATGAGGATTTAAATTTAAACTTTAAAGAGATAATTTAATTAATTAATTTTAACATAAATGTAATATTCACACAATCACACATTCACACTTCACAAATAAACAATTAAATAAATTTATTTTTATTAAATTATTCATCATCAACAATATTTACGTTGTTCAAATCTGTGTTCCTGAAGAGTTCGAGTAGTTTAGGATCTTCAGTGTGCTGCTGTAGTCTTTTCTCTGCATGAGTCTGTAAGTAAAGGATCATCTATAGCATCGGAAACAAAAACTATTTACATGATAGATCGTTCCTTAGAACCAAGATCAGGGCACAAAAATTACAGTTTATACATTATAATAGAATCTACAGAAAATCAGTTTAGCGTTTAAGAAACCATACCCACGTTTGGAGACTCCTCCAATTTGTCTCGGAATGGGTTTCGCTACCAACCCAAGTGTAGGATTAAACTAATGTAGTCCATACGAAGACAACCTCAAGGAACAAAAGAGGGATTTGCTAGATCCTCTTTAGCCTATAAGAACCCAGAAGAAAATCAAATGAAATTTGATTTCAAGCAAAAATACAAACTGGCATGAGAGAGAAGAAGGGGCTGGAACTTTTAGTCTAAATGATTGAAAGAAAGAATTAATTATTTCTCACAAAGTGTTGCACTTATATAGTGCACACTTTGCCCTATTCCTACATGGAATAGGCTTGGGCTCCAACCCAAACACCCCTTGTATCCAAACAACCCCTTTAAGATATTTTAATTTTAATTATTATTGTTATTTCAATTAAATTCAATTAATATATATATTTCATATATTAATATTTAACAATAACAATAATTCATTTAAATATATACGAACACATATTTAAATATAATTTCACTTATTTAATTTAATTAACAAATTAAATAAAGGCTACAACCTCAGCAAATTTAATTGTACTGTGAAATTACCAAAATACCCTTTCGCCTAAAAAGACGAAAATGACTTTCTTATAAACTGGTTCTTAAATTATCTTCCATGTGTGTGACCCGTAGGCTCCTTATCATACCGGAAGTGTGTAGTATCGTGATTAACACCAATTAATCGTCTCACTATACACAGACCAAGATTGGCCCTTAGCAAGTCATCATGGCCACCCGATAGATTTGGATTCAGCGAAGCAGCTACCTATCAATGATATGGTTACTGTACAATTCAATCCTTTTATCATTCGTTATCTCGACGAGACTAAGGCATAGAAATAGTGTCAACCTTGGTTACCCTTGATATTATGTATTCAGTTACTGGACCAATGACCTGAATTATAAACTGGATAGAGTAACAACTCAATCCCACTGTGGCCACAGTTTTAGTGTCATTGCCATTTATTGAACTGCGCCGTGAGATAACTTCTCTCATACCCGGGAGTGATGAATCCTCTGTCGATCCACTATAGTTCTGATACACTCCTTGATGCAGCCAATCACTACTGTATTGATAGCTCTGAAAAGAATTGCGTTAGGCTAGTGTCAAACTACACCAATCGGTGCACAAGGTGCTCCGGTGATCTCAAGTCTAAGGATCACATGCACCACCATTCGTTAGAAGATTTGTTCCATAGAAACTAGGGTTACCATCCATATGGAATCCTCTGGTGGGTCAGTCCAGTGGACTTACCTACAGCAAGCACTTATGTGTTACACCAGATTGTCACCAAACAACCTTAACAAGTGAGATCAATCATTGCCTTTCGACAGGGTCGTTCAAAACTATGATAGCCTTATCGTATTATTTGTGCCCTTACTTCAGAATAATAGTAGGGCTACGGACATTTCTAGAATGGCCACCTTATGTGCTCATAGGGTTCTCACTATCATAATTTGAAACACTTGATACCCTCGTCACGGTTCTACCATTCTAAGGACATATATCAATACATACAATGATGATTTACGCGATATAGAATAAAATGCCTTTTATTGATTAATGAACATTATTACAAAGAGTCAATTCTACAATAATTGATTGGCTCTAGGGCACCTACTCTAACAATCTCTCACTTGCACTACAACCAATCATTCATGTATTTAATACCAAATGATCTCAAGTGTCTTTCATGCTTCTGCTACGACAG